TATATATATATATATATATCCTTATCGTTATAGATGGTTGTAAGAATTGCTCAATATCAAACCATGAAAACGCAGTAATAGTCTTACTCGGTGTATGATAATGTGAATGAATAACAAACACTGGTGGTCCTTACCGGTTCTTGTAATATAACTCTTATAAAAGTCTCAAGCTTAGAATTATAATCAATGATAAACCAATGCAATAAATCAATGTTTAATCTAAAATCACAACCTTATGAATAATAACTTAACAATATAACAATAAATGTATATCGTGAAATACAAATTTATAAAACACATTATTAAAACACATATTCAAAATGATCAAGAATCAGTTATAGAAATGACGTATGAATTTGTATCTAAAAATATAATACGTTATTATATTTAGCATACGCACCTCAAAAATCAATAAAATTAGGCTTATTCACACGCGTTTTTATATGAAACGAAAGAATCTGACAAAAAAAGCATCGTTCTGTCCTGCGAGTTCTTTGTGAGCCGAGATATTGAGCGTTAAAGTTGACAGTCATTGAGGTTATTTCACCTCAAATTTCGATGAAATTGGACTCTTTCGATGCATTTTGCGTAAAATGAAAGAATCTGGTAGAAAAAAGTCCAGGACTGCTCTGCGAAACGAGATATTGAGAGTTAAAGTTGACAACTATTAAGGTTAGAAAATCTGTCATGTAAACAGAGTTGCGCTATTGTATACACTGTGCTTATACCACAGTGTATACAATAGTGCAACCACAGTGTATTCAATAGTGCAACCACAATATACATATATAGTAGCGCAACTCTCCCAATTTTGTTGGCCAAAATGGAGTGCGCATGCGTGAAATAAGCAAGCATTGCCCCATCTCATTTCCTCCCTTTTTTTTATTGTTCTCTCTCTTTCTCTCTCTATTTAAATAAGCGTTTCAATATTCCACTTAAACAATTTGTCTTTCAAGCATACATGGTTCAGAGTAGAAATTTAGAGGAAAGTATTACGTGTATTGTCCATTTGGTGAAATGTTGTGTGAGAAATCTCGAGAGATTGGTCTAATTTTTGTGAAAAAGTGATAAAGTGAAAAAATGAACAAAAAGTAACATAGAAAATCGGGAAAAAGGATTTCTTTTTATTTATTATATTTTTAATTTATTTTTTGGACACATACATGTATATAAATTTTTTTTATATCTCTCAGCTTTCTTATAACATTTTCATAGATATATAATTACATAATATTTCTTTATACAAATATACATTTTTAAGTTAATTTAATATTTTTCTTAATATTTTTCTACATTTTCTCTTTATTTTTCAATATGTTTACAATTTATTTGTATTAATTTTCATTAAGTTCAGATTATTTCGTTGTAATAGTAGGTTTATTCGTTTGTATACGTTGCATGCTTTAATATGTTTCTATAACAGCTCTTACTCACTCCAACGCATTTGTTGGAGTGCGACGCGAATAAATCTAGTGAGTTTTGACAGCGAAAAAAGGATGAAAAGAGAAAAAAGTTTAGATGATAACCATGACAACGCTAGGTAACTTGCTTATTTCACGCATGCGCACTCCATTTTGGCCAACACTAACATCAAAGGTGCGCTACTGTATGTACTGTGCCTTTGATGTTAGTTGGCCAAAACAGAGTGCGCATGCGTGAAATAAGTAAGTTATCTAGCGTTGCCACGGTTACCACCTAAACTCTCTTTTCATCCTTTTTTCACTCTATCAAAATTCCTCGCAAAACTCACTAGATTTATTCGCATCGCATCCAACGAATTCGTTGAAGTGAGTAAATGCTATTGTAGGAACATATTGGAGCATATTAGAGCATGCAACGCGAATAAGCTTAATATTGCAATGAAATAATTTAAGCTTTATGAAAATTAATAAAAATAAATTGTAAATACATTGAAAAATAAAGAAAAAATATAAAAAAATTAGGAAAAATATTAAATTAACTTAAAAATGTATATTTTTGTATAAAGAAATATTATGTAATTATATATCTATGAAAATATGGGAAAGCTGATATAAAAGGAATTTATATACATATATGTCCAAAAAATAAATTTAAAATAAATAAAAAAAAATCCTTTTTGCTCGATTTTCTATGTTACTTTTGTTCATTTTTTCACTTTATCACTTTTTCACAAAAATTAGACTAATCTCTCGAGAGAGATTCACCAAATGAACAATACACATAATTCCCTCTAAATTTCTACTCTGAACCATATATGCTTGAAAGACAAATGTTTAAGTGAAACATTGAAACGCTTATTTAAATAGAGAGAGAAAGAGAGAGAGAGAGAGAGGGGGGGGTCAATAAAAAAAGGAGGAAAAGAGACGGGGCAACTTACTTATTTCACGCATGTGAACTCTATTTTCGCCAACATAAAATTAGGAGAGTTGTGCTACTGTATATACTGTGCCGAAACATTATGCAAGCTAATGGACCGAAACGGTACTCAGACCGAAAATGTTTTCGGTTTGGTTTCAGTCCAGATTTTGATCTAGATTTTTTAACTTTTTCGATACGATCATCGAGTCGATTGTGTTACACAGCGACTTCTCAAAAGTCTTAAAGCAATATTACAGGATGTTCACAGAGTATTATTTTTTTATTTTCTTCCTTGATTATAATAATTTACGTAAGATTAATATGTTATTCTATAGAAAATTATCAACAAGCTGTAAACAGTTGAAAGGACTAGTTGAAACACTGTGAATTGTTGACGTTGATGTAGAAGAAAAAAGTGCAGCAAAGAAAAGAAAAAAATGATTACACATCTCCGTTTTTAGATTTTTCTTTTAAGGGAGTCTTTACGTTTGAGGAATAAAAAAATCAATTTCTTTTGCTTTTTTTGAAAGCTTATATGTAATCTTAAAAATATCCCACGTTTTTTGGGAGAAACAAGAATTATCCAAGATATACAAAATAAAATGACGTGGTATTTGGGGCCGCTTGATTGATTCAAATAGCGCATGCCAACTAATTGCTATAAACGGCGCTAGCTATTATTTATATTCAATTTTTTGAGACTATTCTAAAATGGTTCTATCCAAACTGGTATAGAAACTGGAAAAGCAGCAGAGTTTCAATTCCTTTTGAGCGTTACTTTCGTTTCTAACAGAAAACGGAGAGGTACTTGTACTAAAATGTTTCAAAGCTTTAAACGCGTTTTTCTCGAAACCGTGTCTTTGAAAATGGTGATCATAATTCCAAAAAAACTATTAGTCTAACTTCTACTTTTACGGTTATACTCAGAGAATATCATTATCGTCTGAACTAGAATTAATAGTTTATGTTAATTTTTTTTATTTTTTTTTGGAAGATCAAATAAGAGAAAAAAATGAGCAAAATTCGAATCATTTTTTCAAACTGTCGACATTTTGAAAATATGTGATTATCCTAGTTCAGGCAAGAATTACAAATCTACTCATTAAGAAAAAGCTCTATTTTTTGCTTTCAGATCAATAATATCATTCTTATATCTTTATCACCGTTTGACCGTGTTCGTGGTTAAGTTAACTTCAGGTGCAAGCTTAACTTTAGTGCCATCTTATTACTACTTTATAAAAAATAAACATTAAACAAAAAATTTTCTTGTATTTTCATGTATGCACTTTCTAGAACTGTATTATTTTTAAACTATACTTAAATTTTTATTCATTAAAAAAATTTACAAAAAAATACCTTTAAAATCGGTTCTTAAACGTAAACGCTCCTTTAAAAAATGTTTCTTTTAATAAACGTGAATTTTTATATACAATTTATGCTTATTATATTATCTTTTTCTACAACAGATAATCATACACCGTAACAAAAAAAAAACTGAAATTTAAACGGATATGAAGATTATTTTTGTGTGGGTGCCGTCTCATATTGGCATTAAAGGTAATGAGTTAGCTGATTCACTGGCCAAGGAAGCTGCATCTGAAGAGGAAGACAAGAATTTATATGTACCGATACGGGATTTAAGAAGAGTGTTTAAGTCAGAAACATGGAAATATATTCAGGATACAATAAGAAAGGAGGCGTTGTATAAAGGAAAATTTTATTTTGATAATTATTATGATATGAATAAAACGAAGCCTTGGTTTTGTGAATTAAATGTGGTATTTTATTATTTTTGTAAATAGGATTAGATCTAATCATTATAACTTAGGGGGGGTTCTCTAGCAAGGAAGAAGTATGTGAATAATGAGCGATGTGAGTGTGGATATGATATAGAGAGTTTGGATCATGTTATTTGGCAATATAGTAGATATGATGATTTTAGAGTTGTTAGACCAGGAATTAAGATTAAGAAGAGTATTTCATCATGTTAATGTTTTTGAGCTCATTAAAGTAAAGGATTGGTTTACATTAAGAGTTATTTTTAATTTTATCAAGAGAACTGGAAAAGTTATTTAAAGTTGTTGTGTCATAGATTTATGTTCGTTATACTTTTTCTTTTTTTTTCTCTTTGTTCTGTCTTGAATTAGATCTAGTTTTGCGCCATATAGCCCATAGGTTAGGGTTAAAGGCGCCATTTTTCTTTCCCTCATACTCTTTATTAAAAAATAAAAAAAAACTTTAACTCAATATCTCGGCTTACAGAGGGCTCGCAGGGCAAAGCGATGTTTTTTTTTTGCTAAATTCTTTCGTTTCATGCAAAATCGCGTCAAATAAACCTAATTTTATTGATTTTTGAGGCGCGTATATTAAACTGTATAATTACTTTACAGCGATCATAAGATTACAAAAAAATAAATTGTATATATCAAAATGTATATCGCAAAAAAGTTATAAAGTTTAAAATTAGAATATTAGAAAAATAGTTAAAATTACAAACGAACAGTCAAAATATGAAATAAAAAGTACCCGATAATTAGTAGTGACCTATTTGAGAGCAACATTAGATAAACGGCATCGAGATATCCTGATAACCAGAACTCGGATCTCTTTAAAAGGCAACTCGAATCTGATACTGTATGATAATTAAGAGGAACAGTGCCAGAGAAAGAATGAAAGGAGGAAGTATCTAAGGAAGTATTAAGAAAGGGAAAGCGACTCGAGTATAGATACATGTCAGATGAGGATTCTGTATCTTTCTGCTTATTGAAATCTTATGCTTGTCTTTTTATATGCACCATTTCCGATATTAATCTTTTATTGTAAGATAGTTCAGTATCTAATATTTTAACTTTCTCCCAATTAAAATTATGATTAAATTTCATGCGATGGTCTGAAATAACCGAAGAAAAACTCTTTTTGTTATTGTTATCAGAAGAGTGCCCATGTGCACTCTAGCATTTTTTTGTTTGGCCGATATAACTCATGTCACAATTCAGACATGAGATCTTATAAACAACATCCTTGTGTACTAAAGGATCTAAACGATTTTTATCTACTTTAATAAATTTATTTAAAGTGTTAGAAATCGTAAAAGCTGTTGTTAAGTTAATATTTTCCACAATATTTGATGGTAAAAAGCTTTCAGAGACTGATTTTATATATACGGAACTGTAAAATATTTATTTTTAATTTTATGTTTATTAGTGATAGGATTGTTGGAATTGTGAAAATGGAATTTCAATCTCATTCTAATTGCTGCAAAAATAAAAAGAAGTGGGTAACCATTATCTAACAAAAATGTCGACAGCCTCCACTAAGTTTTTTGATGGTAACAAGGATGGGAAAAAAGTATTTTGTTCACCGTACTAAAAACTATTCCTTTCTTATGACAAATAGGATGGTGTGAATGGAAATTCAAAAATCTTACCGAAAATGGAGGTTTGCAATATTGATCAAAGATAATTTTGTTGTTGTCTAAAATTAACTTGACATCCAAAAAACTAATTATTATTACCAACCTCCATAGTAAATTACAATCGTGAATGTAAAGACCCTGCTGCAAATTCCCATTTTTTTATGGGTTTTTTTAATAGGTTCCTGTAGAGGACTATAAGATTCTGTAGGAGTTTGTGTAGTTACCTACAGGATATGTGCAGCATGCATAGCTATAAGTAGGACATTCATAGAAATGTAAATAGGGTAATAGAGGTACTCACAAGAATGTGAACAGATGCCCTATGAGAACTAAAAGGTCTATAGAATACCAGTTTGACATATAATAACATGTAGGCGAACGTAAGACAAAGAAGAGGTGTCCCATGAGGGGACTGAAAATGCCTATAGACTACCATAGGATGACGTATGCACATTTCCTTTGTCCTATGTGCACCTACATGTTCTAATACGTCAAAGTGTAGTATCCTATAGGTATTTAGTCCGCAGGCATCTTTTCCGCATTCCTATGGATACCTGTATCAATTTGAGGGAATAATTCGTAACTCCTAAAAACTGGAAACCACGATAATAGTTAATAAATGAGATACGTTCCATGTCGGATAAAAAGAAATCCTGACTGTCATAAAGAAAATATATACTCATGACTTTTTTGAGTCACCAAACATACCTTGTTTATCACGTAACTTTCAGTTTTTGGAGTTATGGAAAAATTATCTTAAATTTGTACGTGGAATTACATCAGTCAGCTACTGTTATAGTTTTGTATACACACACTAATATGTAAATTATAGGGTATATCAAAATATTTGGGACTATTTTTGTGTGCAGATAGAGCGGATTAAAACAGAATGTCTAAAATCGACGCATTAGACAACTTTAAAGTATTTTTAAGAGTTCTTTGAAAAACATCTTTAAAATATGTCATAAAGAACTCTAAAAAATATCTTAAAATTGTCTTATGCGTCGATTTTATCCGTTCTTATTCGGCAATTTTTAGAAACTAACTATTGTGAAAATTACAAAATGATACAGGATTTTTCGACTCAGTTTGATAAACAATTTTTATCTCTCGCTGTTTTTCTGTAAAGTTGATAGTATTTAAGTAAAAAATTATTGAAAACCAATATTTAGCGATTTAGTTCATTATATTGTATAATATTAGGAAGTATAATGATGTTAAACAGAGTGATAATTCAGACGATCTTCAGATAGTATATTGAAAGAATCCAAAGATCCATGGATCGAAATATGTATTATACATTAATCACATAATAAATCAACTTTACATGACCAATCAATGCGCAGTGGCTGGCTCAAAAAGCCATTATACATTTCCTCGATTTACATCAACTAAGCTTTATGTATCATTTTTTTCATATTATAAATTAATATCTTGTTAACTATTGCGAAAATTGCAAAATGACAGAGCACTTTTCGACTCAGTTTAGTCCGTCTATCTATACACAAGCGCTTTGTCAAAATTTATCGGACACCCCGTATATATACATATATATAATATAGATATATGTATACATATAGTATATATATACATATATCTATAACATATATATATATATATATATACACATACATATATCTATAATATATATGTATATATATGTACACATTGTGAATAACATAAGTGTCCCTGAAAAGACGTATTTCTGTGTGATCTAATTCTAAGATGATTTTTTCTTTACGAAAATTTTGTCTGAAGCTTTCAAATTACAATAAGAAATAGTTAGCTGAGTTTGCAGTGAAATATTTGAACTATCTAAATTGCAGACATAACAAATTAATATTACATACCAATTATTATATATTTAAGTTGGAATTGTTTGATTAATCGAACTACATACATACAAAATAAAAAACTATTTGAACAGGATTCTCCTTAATTTTGCTTCAAACTATTTTAACAAATTTAACATGTTACATGCTCGAGTTTTTTATTTAAGTCTTACTTTTATGCATCTAACTTACTGAAATATCATATTACTGTGCATAGCGCATCGTTTGAGTAGTTGATAAGCTAAAGTTCTCCTTTCGAGCGGCTTGTCCTTATCATTATCATTCTGCATTCCACGAATGCTTGCCTTGTTATCAATCGAGATAATGTTGCGCTCTAGGATTGCCAGCTGGCAACAGGCGACCATGATTAAGCCCGTCATCAGTGTATCCATCGCCACGTTATGAAAGCAAGCAATTATGATAGCGATGCCCTGATGTGCCGCGGTGATCTCGAAAGCCGGTGTCGCCGTCGTATTATAAGGGTACCATCCCTCCATGGGCAGTTGGCGTGAACGACTAGCGACGAAATCAGCGATTGGAGTAAAACCCCAACAAAACACCGCAATTCCTCCGAAGCTTTGATAAATCGCATGATGGAAGATGCCCTTCCACGCGTAGTTTATGAGTAAATCCTCATATTCTTTGTCGTAGCGACTAAATGCAGGACTATCGGCTGTGTCCAGGAGCATCTGGATTCGCGCTTGACGACGAAGAAGAATGATCATCTAGAAATATCGATCTCTCTTTCACTTTTGATTTACATAATATTTTTCAAGACTTAAATCTATTTAAAGTATCTGTCCAGCCTAGAAAAATTAAATATTTTGCATTTTGAAGGCAAAATTGCCACAAAAAATTTGATTGTAAGAAGTGGTTCGAAATGATTTACACATCATATTAAAAATCCTGACCGTCAGCGGACTTGAAAAACTTTTCAGCTTTAAACAACTAATCAAAAATGACGATTTTTAGAATATTTCAGAAAGTATTTTGTTTAAATAAAGGTTATTATCAAAAAGAAAGTTAATAAAATTACAAATTTTGTTTTTTTGAAGGTCGTAAGATCAATATTTTCCGTGATAGAATTTTTTGGAGAATGTTGTATTTTTGGTCATTTCGAGAATAAAGCAATATTTCACATTTTTTCGTAAATATCTCGGATCTGATTACTTTTACGTACAAAATATTTCTCATAAAAATAGGAGATTACTGAAATTCCTACAAAATCATTTTTTATTTGTCTTTGTACAACCAATAGTTTCCGAGATACGAATTTAAGAATATTTACTTTTATTTTTTTTAACAAAACTTTTTTTTTAAGTTTTATATAAATATCTCGGATTTTCTCGGTTTCTTCTACGTAAAGAGTACTCTCTCTCTCTCTCTCTCTCTCTCTCTCTCTCTCTCTCTCTCTCTCT